ACACTCCTCACCAGCGAGGACTTTTGCTTTGCAAAGCAGACTCCATGTACACCAAGAGGTGTTGAAGGACCAGTCTGCAAGTCTCCCAGATTTAGGAGAGCAAGCTCAGGTGCACGGGAGCACTGCAGAGACACAGGGCACAACGCAGGAGCTGTGTGAGATACAGCTGGCCTCTCCTCTCCACAGTCTCCTCCATGAATGGTGCATTCCCAACTGTAAAGGTTAAACGAGGAGGACAGACACTGGCTGGGGGTCTAGAAGGGCATCCCAGTGGCTCTGGTCACAGTAACCAAACAGGAATTCAAGTTTCCCAGCCAAGAATATGAGCTGAACATGTCACCAGCAGCTCAGCTCCGGGGCTGGAGAACAAGGAACCCAGTCCTGGCCCAGTTTGCCTCTCCCAGACCCCAGCTGAGTCAGGAGCCTCCAGCCCAACCCAGCACATCCAGAAGCATTGACAGCTCATGGGAATTTTTCCAGAGGTGTAGCAGGAATCTGAGTTGAGGCCTGAAAGGAGGGATACACACTGCTGACAACAAGGAAGGCCACAGGAGCTACGGGCTGAGCCAGGCCAAACAGGTTCAACTAACTGGGAAGAAGAAGGAGGGCACCGAGGAAGAGATGCACCATCCAAACAAACAAGCACCTGCCTTTGACTCCCCACCTATCAAGAATGCTTTTCACAGCAAGCACAGACCATCAGGCAAAGGAGAGAGTCTGAAATGAGAAAAGCTGAGCAGAAGCATTAATTCAGCAGAAAGTGAAGAAGGATCCTCAGGTCTGAGACACAGATCACACCTCAGGCCAGTTGCAATGACGACATTTAGGCAACACCTCCGTGCTCCAGACATGGTGTCACCAACCTCTGTGTGTGGGGAGGAGCCTTCTTCCATTTTTAATAAGTTTATTCCAAATGGTTCTTTAGGAGAGGGCAGAGGCTGGTGACCTCCAGCCCTTTCAGCCAGACCTTGGCTGGTCCATCTCCATCCTCCTGAAAGGAAAATCCACTCTCCCCTTTCCTCCCCACCAGTCCACCTCTCCCAGAGCACTGCCCAAGACCCCTGGGCCACAAACCATGGCTTTGGGACACATGGCCAGGGAGGGAGCAGGGCAGTGGCTGCTCTTGCCAGAGCCAAACTCCTTCCAACCATCGAGAACTACAAGCCCAGCCCCATGGTCAGGCTGCACTGTGCTTGTTTTCCCCGAGCTGCTCTGGGAGAAGTTACCATCCTTCCTGGTGAGAGCAAAAAAACAAACTTGCTTCATTTTATAATTAATCAGCAAGGTGCATTCCTGGATTTGGCATGAACAGGCACATGGAGAAGCTTTAGAAATGGATGAAAAAAAGCACAGCGTTTCTCTTAGAATAATTTATTAAATACAGCATTAAAATTTGTATTTATGAATTCGATCATTAAAAACAAAACTTCATTTCATATATATATAGATATATATATATATATATTTTCAGGGACAATGACAATCATTCTATCAACATGGGTGCATGTTGTGCCAGCACTGCTCAGAACAACACCTTCTCTACGCTATCCCTTAAAGCAGTTCAACACTTAAAAAGAAAAAAAATCAAAATCAAAATAAAAATAAGAGAATAAAAAGCATTTGCAAAGAAAGAGTGCAAAGCAGGGCTTGGCCCCAGCTACCTGCCAGGGGCTAAAAAGAGGAGGCCGAGGCTGGAGTGCTCCTAACGGGTTTGTTAGATATTGTCCACCCAGCACGAGGCAGCGTACAGACCAGTTCTCAGAGGTGCCAAAGGTCTCCAGTCACAATTTCAGCCGTGGCTGGATGCCTGTGGCTCTTAAGTCTCTGGTTTGTGGTTTCCTCAGCTTAGGCAGTCAAGACTAAAAAAGCTAAACAAGGTGAGAGGGGGGTGGGGGTAGAAAAAAAGCACTAAAGAAAAAAAAGTTGGTTTAAATCCATCAGGTTCTTCCCCCAACCTGCCAGGTCCAGCAGAGGCTGCAAATGAGGCGGCGCAGCACTTTGTGTTCCCACTCACTCATTTTTGCATCCTTCTGTGGCTCAAAAGCCAAGTGATAAACCAGTACCACCAGTAAACCAACCAGTACCAGCTCACGGAGAGAGCAGCCCCCAGGCCAAGTGCTCTCAGGCTCTGGCTCGGCAGCGTGGACCACTCCTACCAGAGATGCCAGGCTGAGCCTTCAGGGAGGCTCATCCCTGAAGAAAAGGGTTTCCAGGGACCGGGTCCTTGGGCAGACTCAGAGGTAGCATGGGACAGACTTTTGTAACTTGATTGTCAGGTGATTTCTGGCCTGCCCAAGGTGGGCAGCTGGGATGGAGAGGGCACCCTGCAGGAGTGGGAGATGGGACATGGGGGATCTAGTCCCCCCACTCGCAGACTGACTCACACTGTTCAACCTGGGTGCTGAGGACTAGGATGGATTGTCTCCTACGGGGCTTCAGAAAAGCTGCCCTTGCTGAAAAAGGCCAGAAGCTGGTTGTTGGGCACCTCATGGTAACACTGGGCTCTCCTTCCTCAGCTCACCAGGGCCTCTTGGGTTACGAGCAAGTGCCCCAGCGAGCCAGAGCCTCTCTCCTCTCACTGCACGCAGGCAGCGGTGCAGCCCACGGCGAGAGGACCAAAGGCTGCTGGTCACTCACCCCACAACACAGCTATAGCGAGGGCTTGTGCTTTTGGCTTTTCTTTTTTTTAAGAGTCCCTGACCTTCCAAACCTGCTTACTCCAAGAAACCTTCTGTTTCAGTTACCCTTAGGACCTCTGAGGACAAGGAGGAAGGGTTGTCAAAACCATTGTGGAGAGCACACGGCCCCTAAAAGAGAAGAGAAAGTCCCCACAGCCCAGCTTTCACCTACAGTGGGGACACGCCACATCAGGAGCATTTTGGATAAGGCATCGCAGGTGCTTTGATAGTAAAGCAGTTAGTGTTGAGTACAGTACTTTAAACACAGGCTGCTGTAGAGAACATCCCTGGGGTAGGAACCAGTCTCCAGCACTTGATGCAGCAGGAGGAGACGTTTCAGTTTCTCTCCTACACACACACAGGCTGCTCAGGCTGCCCCTTTTTTTTTTCTTTTGGTTTTTAACCCCTCCCTAAAAAAAAGAGACTTAAAAAGCCCAGGCTGGGATGTGCCATTGACCCCACCAAGCAGCCAGAGAGATCAAAAGACGCCTTGTGCTGTACCAGACTTTGCAGTAGGCAGGTGAACCGTGGTGCCCAGGGGTCGGCAGCGCCAGCGGGACTCCCAGCCTGGGAGGCTAATTGCCATTGCTGATGCTGGAGTTGGCACTGCTGCAGCTCTGCTCATAGGATGGAGGTGCCTCTGCAGGGGAAAGAAAGAGGAAGAGTGGTTATGGGGGGTGTTTGGGAGGTTCCCTTCACTCCTGTCTATAGAACTCGGTGTAGAATAAAGCAAACTGTTAACACATACATGCTCGGTCTCCAGGACCCTACAAACCTGCCCCACTGAAATATATGGGGGGTGTGTGTGCCAGCCAGTCCCATCCCTGTCCTGATGCTTATAGAGGTTAAAATCAGCACCTCAAAGTCCTGGTTTGTTCCTTCCCTTCTTTCACAAGCACCCTCATGTACTCCCAACACCTCCAGATCACAGGTGACCCGTGTTCCGTGTGCCCCAAGCCAGGGCTGATGTGACACATCGAGTGTCTCGTCACCCCAGTGCTAACAGACGGGTTTATTCGGGTAGGGCTGTGCTAACAGACATCGCTGGTCCACCTGGGACAAGCACAGCTCCAGGAATCCAGCACGCTGGGATTTCCCCAAGTTTTTCCACTCTGGACAGTCTCTCAGCTCCCACCCCCACAGTTTTGTGTCTTCAGACCAGCTGCAGGCCAGCTCCAAGTCAGACAGAAGATTTCAGTGACATCATTTTCCTGGCTCTGCTCCCACCAGCTTCACCACAAGCCAAGAAGTTTTTTTTTCCTATCAGTGGGAGGCTGAAAGCTCATTTAAGAACAGGGAGATCCTCTCACGATGAGCCCAGGGCAGGCACTGGTGGAGACGTGGGAGCAGACAGGCAGCTTTGACAGCTGTAAGAGAGGACTCCTCCACTCCAGAGGCTAAAGCAGGCAGAGAGATCTCATGATCCCTTCTGACATCAGCCCCCAGCAGGCTGACATCCCAACCTTCCCACCCAGTTCCCAGCTAGCAGGGAGACTCTGGTGGCAGGAGACGTTTCCTCCCACACTGCCAGCCCGTGGAGATCTGAGGAGCAGGCTGCTCACCGTATGGGTAGCCCCACGTGCTGTACTCTGGAGGCAAAATGAGAGAGCTGGCGGTGGGGACAGGCACCACGTTCCCCTCAGCGTAGTAAGGGACAGTGGCCCCCGTTGACAGGCAGAGTGTGGGATGGTTTGGGGAGCCCGTTTGCTCCGAGTCCACCCTAATCTCCTGGAAGCTCAGTCCTGGGGCGTAGCTAAAGGGCTGCTGCTGGGAATGGCTTTTGGTGGGGATCGAGATATTGTCCATGGGGTGATAACCGCTGGCAGCCTCCTCTTCCTCCGGGGGGGCACTGGGTACCACTGCAGATGGGATGTGCTGGATGGAGCGGGAGGGGCTCAGGGGAACCCTGTTCACAGCAATGTTACCAATATAGATGGGCAGAGTGACCGAAACCTCTGGAGACTTGATGGAAACCTGGAAGAGAAGAAAGAACAGTGGCATCCTCTTCATTATACATCGTACTGAGAAGGTTCACCTGATGTGAGAGCCACCCACACCACACAGCTATGGACTTCAACAATGGATCCCAACCCAGAAGGGAGCACAGAAGTTGCATTAGAGCTCACTGGAGCTCCCCAGGAGCACTGATGTACTCACTTGGATGTAGTAGTCGATATGTATGAGGCTACAGCCCTGCAGAATGGACTGGGGCAGTGCTGGAACGAGGATCTGCTCCTTCCATTCTGCATGTTTCCAGGCTTTCACTCCTGAGCCTTCCACCTCTGCGATGGTCCTCAGGTCGTAAATCCAGCGCTTGGATTTATAAGCCACTTTCTATACAGACAGGAGAAAATACAAGCTAGCAGAAAGCTGCCAGATGGTCTTCTGTCTCCCACAAACATAAGTCAGAACACAAAACCACCCAACTGCTTTGTCAAATAAGCATGAGCACAAACTTGACGTGCACATGACAGGGCAGAAATACCCATCATTATATGATAGACTGAGTTGGTATAAGCAGGACAAGTTCTACCACCTCTTTCCTCAGGAAAGTAGAAAGAAACAGAGTTAGCCACAGGTCTGGACTCCTCACTGCCACCTCCCAGCCTGCGCGCTGGTGAGAACTCCCTGAGGAGAACTCAAGGGGGTGGAGTACCAGCACAAGCCAAAGAATCACCCTTTTGGATGCCTACCTGGAGCAGACTGGCCACCACAGCCCCAGTGTCCCGGCCTGATTTGTTCTCTATGTCCGTGCGGAGCTGGATGGCTTGTCCCACAATGTACCCTTTCAGATCCGAGGTGGCCGTCAAGATAATGTTACCACTTTTCACAAGCTTGTAGTTGAACTTCTTGGTGATGGACATAGTGTTGGGCTGCTGCAGGACAGCAGAGACAGAGATGTTGGCTCAAAAGTCAGAGAGCATCCAGGAAAACACTCAGAGATTCAAAGCAAGCAGAAATATCTGGTCTAAGAGGACACAAAGAACCAGCAACACAGCACTGCCAGAGACAACAGGTCTCACTTCTCAATCCCTCCAGTTTTGCTGTCCTAATTAAGTCACTCTTCTCTCCAAAGCAAGTTCCCCAAACCCAGGTCTCTACAAGCACCTGGTACTATTGGCCAACAAATCTCTCTGTGTGCTGAAAATTCACTTAAAACTTTCAAAGCAACATGCAGAAGAGTCAAAAAAATCACTTGGAGCAGGGAGTAACAGTAAGGCAGGAGAGATCAGGACTCCTTGTCCTCCTCGTGGACAGTCAGGGCATGCATGTCCAACCACACAATTGTTCCCCAGACAGCATGCAGGACAAGGACAAGTGCTGAAGCCTTGGCACTTCCCAGCCATGCTCCACCTTGTTCTTACCTCGATGTCAGGGATGTCATTCAAGTTGAGAGGGCAGAGAATGTAGAAGATCTTGTTGCACTTGTAGTCCTTGGAGAAGCGAGGTGTGTCTATCACAGCTTTCACCTGATGGAGGACTTTGCCAAAAGGACCTTCAAATGATGTAGGAGCAGAGGCTGGAGTTGAGAGAGAAAGAAAAGGACCATAAGGCTGAGTTAGGCCAAACATTTCTGAACTGGAAGTGCAGTCCTCTTCACCTGAGGCATTCTGCAGGTATCTGAGAGACAGAGTCCATGGAGATAAAAAAAGACCTGGGGCTGAACACTTGGGTCACTCAGAGGCCTTGCTGCAACCTCCTTACCAAAGGGATCCTCAGCAGCCACTGCTGCAAGAGCAGAGATCCTCTCCCCAAGCGCACTGCGTGCAGGACGGCTGGCTGGCCACAAGCACACCCAAGGGTGACACTTGGGGAG